CCTGGCCCAGGCAGATCTAACATGCTCTGGTTATTCTCTGTTTCCCGTTAGGTGGCTGCACTCGAGCTGGACAATGTTTACATGAAGTACATGCTGGTGGTGGTGGCCCTGGTCATGGTGGGGCATTTAGTGGTACGACGCTTCTTCAGGCCCTGACTGACATGGGGGCAGAGGCTGGGGGGGTCCGGCCAAGCTCTCTTTCAAATCTCTGCTCTGACATCTCCCAAGAGAGGGGGGATTCAAGGAATCTCTGAGAGAGAGAGCAGCTTGGACCAGTGACCCTCCCGCTACAGGGCCAGGGTCTCTGCCATCTATGGAGACACCACCAGGAGCTATGGAGAGGAGCAGGGGGGTGGGGGGGAAGGTTCAACTTCACTGTCTGTTTTATGCCTCGCTTAGCTGCTGAGGACAGAGCATCACTGTGACAGTCCTAGCATGCAGCAGTGAGGCAGAACAGGCTCCTCTGGAGTCAAGGGTCTGGAGGAACAAATACATTGTCGTAATAATGCCAGTGTGTGCGAGCACATGGGTCTTGTCCACTTCTTGGGGCAGGTGCAGAGCTCCCCATTTGCTAATGGCTCTAGCCTAGACCATGTCTGCATTTGAAGAAGGATTGCAGCCTTGGTTGCTGCAATTGTCTATAAGTCACTGGAGGGGCAAAGCCAGCATTGGAAAGCTCACGTGGGGCTTGCTTTCACCTTCCCTCTGTTTCTGAGCCCAAGTACTTGAGCCTTCTCTTTCCTTTTAACAAGCATCCCTACCCCTTTTTTAAAGAAACACGTTGACTACCTGTCCTCTGACAGTGGATGGTAACATCTGGCAGCGCTGGAGGCAGGGTTTCCCTGCCGCAGCCTGAACCTGGAGACCTGCAGCTCTCCCATGGCTGATGCAGGTGCTGGGGTGCAGCCTCACAGCCCTCCGTGAGCTCAAAGGCTGCGTGCCAGCAGACCTAGGAAGCACTAGCGGGTTTCCAAACACTAAAAAGCTGTGGGGTGACTAATGGTCAGTGTAGGCAGCCTGCCTACCCTCCCTCCAGTTCTGCTGGGGGCTTCCATTCAGTAGACTTGGATGCTGGCAAACGAGCAGCCCAAGTGAGACCAGTTGGTCTCCCTTGCTCCCAGTGGGAGGCACTGGAGTTGCATCCCATCCCTGCATCAGCTCTTTGCCTTCTGAGCTGAGCTGGGCAGGATGGTGCAGGCATGCCCTGATTAAGCCCAGGGCTGCAGTGTTTTATAGCTGCCCAGCCTCTTCTGGGCACAGTGTCTTTGGGAAGTGACTTGACCTTGTTCCGTTCATGATTAATGCTTGAACATGATTTTGGGGGGCGGGAGGGAAGCAGGCTCCACTCTCCCATCCCAAATCTTTCTGACTTTTGCAAACTAGGGAGAGCGTCCCAGTGTGGACCTCATAGTTTAGCGCTGTTCTTTTTACTCCAGACGACTCTGTAAGGCTTGAAACTGTGACTGGCCCTGTCTGAGCCAAACTCACCCTATTCCAGCATCACCCATCTCCTAGAGCAGGTCAGCCAGCTGGGGGAAGGAGCTGGAGAGACCTCGGAGGTAGGACATGAGCAGTGGTCCTGTGTCTGGGCTGCTCTCCTAATGCAGACAGAGCCTTCTGGGCTGGAGCCAGGGACAACAGGAGCCACAGTATCGTAGCCCTGAACAGGCTGAGCCTTCCTGTCCTCTCGGGCCTTTCCATGATGGCTGGAGCAAGGAACTTGCCTGGTATTGCTACCGCAAAACAGGCTGGGTGACCCCAACTGATGGTGCTCCAACTCATCCCTGTCAGATGGGGATGGCCAAACTGGGGCAGAGCCCGGCTCGCCTCAGCCCTGCCTGGTGTCATCTTCTGCAGCGACCACCGTGAGAGCCCAAGGAGGGTCAGAGAGATCTTGAGAGCAGCCCATCTGCCCCACTGTAACAAAGGCATTCCTTACAGACATCTGGCTAATGTGTTTAAAACCCTCCAGTATTGCCTCCACATATCACTGATTCCTACCTTAATCTTTACCTTCAGATAGATTTTTTTCCTCAATGCCTATCCCTTGCTGCAGTTTAAGCTTGTTATTACACGTCCTGTCCAAGCACAGAGACAGGACACCTTACACTTAGCAGGACCAGCCATGGTTTTATAACACTTACGCTCCTCACGTTCCTGCCTCTTTTAACATAAGAACAGCAAACCTTTCAGCCTATTTCCCTATCAGGGTCTCTCCGTGCTTATCATTTTGACCCTGACTGTTTCTGCAGTATCCCTTTCCCTGGTGGAGTGCCCTGGACTGTGCTTAATAGAAAAGCATTAAAATATTTGCTATAATATTCCTCTTCTATATATCTCTGTTTTGGTTGCTTTATTTGTTTTATCTGTGCTGAGCAGCACAAGTCTCCAGCGGATTGTCCATGCTCAGGCTTTGTGGCCATGCTCGTCTCTTTGAGCAGCTGATGCCCACCTAGCTCATTCGTCCCCTTGCAAGTGTATTTCTTTGCATTTATCCACACACAACTTCATTTACCATCGTGCCACCCTGTTCACCCGTCTTGAGCAGATCTTGAGATTTCCTCAAGATCAAGACTCTTCTCTGGTGTGAACCAGTCTAACCAACTTAGTATCATCTGCAGTTTCCCATCCCCACATCTTACCTTCTTTTCTGGGTGAAAACACCACCAGATGGAGCCTTTTTGCCACAATGAAAATGAACTACTAATTGTTATTTTCCTTTTCTCTTAATCAGCCACATTATTGACATGTCACTGTCCTCTAGGCTAGTTCTCTGGTTTGGTTGTGTCTCCAGCAGGACTTTTTCAGAGGACCTTGGAAAGAAAACAGTATAATCAGCCTTTATTCACTACTTCACCGACACACTCCAGGAACTCTAACAGATTGGAGAGAATTTTTGCTCACACAAAAAGCCATGCTGCTTGTAATTTATCCTCATCTTCCAGAGAGGGTGTTTCACCTTGCAGACCAAATTCACCTGTAAGGCCAGCCAACTTTAAATAAAAACATTTTTCAGCTTTATGGTAGATGATCAAGCCATAGTAAAGTCTGTGATACCAGGACAGAGAAGGGAACTTTTAAAACAGGTGCTGTAGCAAAGGAAAGTTTCCATTTTATCCGTTTTCTCAGGGGATTTGCAGGGAGGATTGTCTCAGGATATCAGCATATTGTCTGCCTCTGCTCTCACCTCTCCCAGCCTTCCTGGCACTGGTTACCAAGGGGAAAAAAGCTTGAACTGGGACTGTGAATGGGTGACTGGTCTGTAGTACTGTGTCCTGTCACTGGATGGCAACAGCATTGCAGGCACAGCCACCTGGGTGCTGGCTCCGAGGGCAGAGAGGGGCTGAGCTCCCACCGAAGGGGAAAACCCCCCCTTCCAGGTCCTCCTTTTTGTCCAGGTGACCTCAGTATCCATCAGCTGTGGTCTGCACACCCAGAGCTGTGGGTGTGCACCACGCTCTGACCCATAGCAAAGGCGGGCATCGCTGGTTTGTACTGGACTGCTGTTGGGGAAAGTGTGAATGCTTTAGGGGGGTAGGAACAGGCTAAAGCAGGGTTGGATTTGCTGGGCTCAAAGCAGACCAAGATGAGAAGGCTTGGCCCTCCCCAGAAGCTGATGCTCTTTGTAGGGTTGGTGGGCCCTCTCTGGAGAGCCGCAGCAGGTATCTACCTCGAAGCCCTACTCGGCAGAGTTTAGGCAGGGAGCCTGGACAAGGTACCACAGGGCATATTGACTATATGCAGAAGGCTTTTGCTCTGGGACTGGCAGCGCCAGGAGCCATTTTCACAAAAAAGTACATCTCTGCTATAGAAGTAAGAGCTCTAAATAAAACTACGTTCTCAGAATACCCCAAACTTCCCTTACAGGGCTGAATCAGCCAGTTTATTCTGCAGGGATAAAGCTCTGATCAACTACAATATTTTTTTTAACCAGTGTAAACTTCGTTTAACCACCAACCCAGTCACATGTTGTACCTTGTACGAAAGCAAGTCCATCGAATGCACTGACCAGCGGGCTCTCCCTGCTGCCACCTTCTAGCCACTGTGGTGCTACTGGGGGCTTTGGCTTCTTCCCCTGGTGAGCAAGGGAAACAGAGGTGGGAAGCCCTCAACTGGAAAATGAGGGCAGAAGATGAGGAGAAGGCTCTGCTATGACTGCTCACAAGGAGAGGATTGTTCACTGAATCATTTGGGTTGGAAGGAAAGTCTCACCCCCGCTCAAAGCAAGGCTACCTAAATCATTGCAGGGTTTGGTGGACAGCTAAGCATGCCATTTTTCTAGCCTCAGAGGCCCAAGCTGGGGTTTCACCTGAGGAAGGACTGGCTCTCTGTGATGCCTACAACTTAGCTGCACCCACTGGTACCAGTGCCTGCCTGCTCTGCTCACTCCTAGACTGGGTAAGGAGAGGAACCAAAGAAAGGCTTGTGCTATTCCCTTCTCCACCCAGCCCCAGGATCAACAGATGGGATGGTTTCAGCATCACAGTGCTCAGTGAAGGCTGAGATGCACCCCAGAAGTAGCAAAGAGGGGTGCAGGTGGTCCAGGTAGCATGCCAGTCCCCAGGGCTGGAGGAGCAATACGTGGATGCAGCTGATCGCAGCCCTGCTCAAGGCCACGAGCTCTGCACCGTGGCTCCTTGTGCTCTCTGCTGGCTCCTTAAATATCAAGGGGTGCAGGGAGGAAAGGGGGGTTCCTTTTGGTGAGGATTTCTTTGTGCAAGACGCTACCCCAGGAGAGGTGTTAAGGGAACATAGCACAGGGAGTTGTCCAGACAGAAAACTCTTAGTTCAAGCAGAAACGTGCATGTTTGGGAGGGTGGGCAGAGGAATTTCATTCAGAAGGTTATAACGGGTGCATAGAAAAAGGGGGAGAGTCTGAAGGAAGAGTCTCATTTACTGAGCCTATCTGAGAGCATTTTTTACTCCCACCCTCTCCCAGCTCAAAAAAAGAGGAATCTGCCTGAGCTATCAGTTTGCTTGTCAGAACCACTTCTCCCTTCTAGCCATTCCTCACAAGCCAAACCCCGAGCCATCCCTCCCGAACACCGGGTGCAGCAGGGTTCAGGCTGGCAGGGGCCAGCGCTGCCCTAGAGAGACCAGTCTCTTCACGGTCAGGACTGGTGGCAGCCTTCTGTGAAGCTCTGTGTGATGGGTTT